TTTTTTTTTTTTTTTTTTTGTTGAAGATTTAGTTTGTTTATATCTGCAAGCTAGCTTTTTACAGTTAGGTTACTTCTGAGTTGGACTTTAAAAGGATTAAATAGACTTGAAAGAAAATTATTATTATTATTATTATTTTATGTAAGTCTTTTAATGTTCAAATGAAAATCCTGGGTTATGTTGTTTATGCAAATCGCTACATTGTTTATATTTCTCTTAATTACAAAAAAAAAAATATCAATAGTATACTTTTGCTAAGTTCTGGAATGTTACCCTATGTTTTGCATTAGTCCTTTTTTTTTGTATAACATGGATTTGCATAACATGACATTTTTTCAGAATGTAGCTACTCTCTTAATATCTCAGGGAATACTCTCTTATACAAGGTATCCCTCATATAAGAGAGTATTCCCTGTTTTGTGCCTTCTGGAACTTATTTACAGTACCATGTTTTGTATAAACTAAACATCTTAAAATCTAATAATGTTTGAAACAGAAATTGGAATGTAATCAAATTTGGACATGAAATTCTTTTTTTCATATTTTGAATAGTAATTCAGGTAATAGAGAAAAAGGATTTCACAAAAAAAATTTAATTATAGAATTAAATTTTGTTGATAGGAGGGAATATACACAAATGACAAATTAAATAAACTTTAATTTCATAAATGTTTCTTTTTGAGTTTTGAATCACTAAGACATCTGTTAGTTAAGGAACCAAAAATGTCTACTCAACTTAGCTTTGAACTAAAGCACTACATACTTTTTGTTCACTGAATTCACCCATTATTTTGGAGTCTTTTATTTGAATTAAAAAGATTCACTTATATTGAGATATGCTTAGAGTTAGTGTCTTGTTTAATTTACCTATAGAGTTTATAACAGAATGCAGAGAAAAATTTCTCGGACATATATCATTTGAAATAAGATTTTTTCAAAAAATTCATTTTACTAAAAATTCTCAAAGTAATCAGTTTGAATAGTAATTCTATCAATATATAATGCTACCTTCAACTTAAATATTAACAAAAATAGATAAGTTTAATCAATATTAATGCACAGAAAAGCATAACACAGAGCGAATTCAGAAAGGACTTTACAAATTGACTTTTTACAATACAGGGTTGATTTAAAAAGAACTTTAAATCCTGAAAGCATATAGAATTTTAAGTTGTAATTTCAACAAGAGCATTTGTTTTTATCAGCTACTTCATAATTAAATGTTGAAATTTTATTATTGTTTAATAAATTTCTTGATTAAGAAACAAAGCACTACACCGTCTAAAAGATAGTTAATTTTAAATAATTTGTAAGTCACTATATCTTAAGCTTAATCAACTAGGTCCATTCTGGGCTATAACAAAATAACTTAATTGATTTTACTGCATAATTTGGCTTTTGTATCATGTGTATAACTATATGTCATAAGATATATAATTTCAGTGTATCATTTTAGATTGAAATATTGTTTTCAAAATATAATTAAAAAAGAAGTAACATTTCTTTAGAGTCCAGCATCCCCACCTTCTTCACCTGGTTCTCAGGATAGACCGCAGCATCCCTCTACTAGCTTAAACAAACCTAAACCGAAGAAATTTAGAAGGGTTTGTCATAAAACATTTCTGTTGTCTTAAAATGTTAAAATTTTTACATAATCTAATTCAAAATGTTTTTAGAGTGATGGAAAATCCTCCTATGATTTGTCCGGATCTCGATGCATTCAGCCTGCTGACATCAGAGAAGCCATTCGTAGATACTGGAAGCCTTCGGGTCCGCTGATGCTATTTTCGGTAATTAAAGTTTAGTAAAACTTTAAATTTCTGTTCAAATTTGAATTAATAACTTATTTTCTTTTCAGAAACATCATCATAATTATTTGGGAACAAGACTCATGTGTTGCTAACTCTTTAAATTATTTGTACATAAATATTTTATTGAAATATTTGGTCATACCTTTGTTCTCAATTTTCAAACAGCATAATAATCATTTTTCTTACAAGTTAAATGATTATTTAAAATCAAAACATTACATGTTGAATCCTATTTATCAGTTCAGATATAGAATTAATAAAAATTGTAATGACAAGTTGACCTTAAATTGTTACATGTAATAAACAATTTTTTTAATGAAAAGTTTAACAGAATATAGAATTTTAATTTACCTTTGCACATTAAATCAAACTTGAATGATTAATTCTAAGAACATTCCTATCATTCAATTTTATACAGTATAGTGTTTATATTATCAGAATTTAAAAAGTACACTAAAAATGTAGTAAAATCCACTTATTGGTATTTGTCCCAAAACAAACTAACGAAGATTTCTTTGTAAGTGTATTGCTAATTATCTTCAGATTAATGCAAAAAGACAACTAGAAATGCATATCTACAAACTGGTTAAGACTGATAAACTATCTTAGTGCAAACAAGTAATTTTTTAAATTGCTGGAATTTCTTATTTCAGTTATACACTGGATAAAAACACATAGGCTAAAATAATAAATCTTTAAGTTATATCATTTTAGATTAGTTCGATAGGATAAGTTAACAAAACACCAGGGCAATCTGACAAGTTGGTACCCGTCTTCCAGGAGGATTGTCCATGGGAAACTGGTCTTTTTTTAGGTATTACACATGTTCAGAAAATTCCATGCAGCCAGCCCATTGGCCAGAGGCAGTTAGTGTTGGTCTACCACGCGATTGAACCCAAGTAGTCCAGGAAACTTTTTGGGGAGTGGTCCATCTGGTCCATCCCACACCGCACCAACACTCCAAGTGTAGGCTTTCTAAAAAAAGCTTTCTTTAGTGTCCAGAGGATGGAAAGAGTAAAACATCCTGCTGGTCTAGTGCAAATGCACAATGAGTGTTAAAAGTAGTTTCATCCAATTTAACATTAGTGGACCTGTCCTTTGTCTTTACATAACAATGAGTCAGATATCAGTTATATTCATGACAATGGTCAGTGATCCCAAATTGATTACAATAAGTGGAATATGCTATATATTCAAGTTTGAAGAATTTGGTTATAACAAAGTACACAGTATAAAGAATTAATGGATAAAATTAGGGCTTCTCAAACGGGATCCCAGTTGTTTTTTAACCCAGGAAATTCTTCTCATCTCGGGAAATTCCGCAAATTTCTTAAAAATTCACTTTTTTCTTATTTTATATTAAGGTGGAGGAAATTTTGCAAATAGAAAGTAATTAACTCATAAACTGTCAGAATATATTTGTATTTATTAATTTTAAGCCTACTTATTAATTTTTTTTTTAATTTTTGCTTGTTATGGCATGTCACAAATGGTCAATAATTAATACGTAGCTTATTTGTGGCAGGGCTGAAAATTGTTTACTTGTCAGAACCTGTAATATCTGGAATAACTGAGCTTGTGCTCTTAATTTTTAACTATGCCCTATAACTTCAATAAGTATGTATTGTCAGATTGTGCAAATTAGGAAAGGATACAAATGAGTACAAAGTCTGTAAGTATGAAGTTTTTCTTTATAAACCTGATTATTAAAGGCAAATGAACTGCCGAATTATCGGGCTATAAGCTTAATGTTTCTATTAAAGCAGCAGAGGTAGACAAATCAAGAATACTACAATTTCGAAAATGAACTAGAAATATTTCAGGTTACAGGTGAAAAAAACACATAACATCTGTCTTCTCTTAAATGCATTAAAGACGATTCCACCCACATGAATTGAATCGGAAAGTGCATTCTTGGTAGCAGAACTTTTCATTAGTTAAATAAGAACCAGATCGAGTGATTGGAGTATTGACCATCTTTGCTTTTTAAAATCTTAATACAAAATATTATTGTAAATTTTGATAATAAGTTTTATTTAAATCACGAAAATTATCTTTTAAGTTCATTTTTTTAAATTTTAAACTCAATTCAAAGGCACTTTTGTTGTTGTTGTTGTTTGCAGTTTCCAGCAAACTTTAATAAATTTTTTTTCTATTTGTGAAAATTCCTATGTAATTCAAAGGTAATTTTTAATATATATCTTACACAGCATTATTAATATGATTTTGGAGGTTGCAGAACATAATAAATTACTTGAAATCAAATGATATAGTTATTTTTCATTTTTTAAAGATAATATTGTAATTTTACAAATTATTAATTCTATCCCGTGAAACAGTTCACTTTTATCCCAGAATTCCAGGATAAGCAAAAGACCAAGAAATGAGAAACCCTAGATAAAATACCATTATATATATATATGCCATTTGAAAATAGAAATTTTATCTTTAATATTTTTGTCATATTCATCATTTTCTATTATGGGTGCAAAATACTCATTGAATAAAAAATCTTTAATATTGTTTAGCTTCACTATTTTGCATTATTATAAATGCATGACTTTTATTATCCAGAGTTAGGGAACATCCTTGTTAAACAATATAGCTTTCATTTTAACCTAAAAGAGACAAAGAGTAATGATGATTTATTATTTTTTCCAAATTTGAAGCTTGAAATTTTATTTAAAATGCTTATTAAAGTGTAATAGTTTACAGAATTTTAAATACTGCTAAATACAGTTTGAGTTTTTTTTTTTGTAAAAATGTTAATTTTCACTTCATTTCAAGAAGGAAAGGTAAGGAAAGAATTTTATTTTCAACTTTTCCAATTGATGCAAGTTCTAACCCCACTTGCAGATAATGATGAAGAAGGTATCAAGTTGCAGCAATGGTGATATTTGCTTATCCAGTTGTAGAATCTTAATTATGAACTCTTACAGCCAATAAAATAAAACTGCATTTAATCCAGCAATAATAGTCAACTTTTAAGCTGTTCTGAAAATTACATACGTATATACTTTTAAAACTTTTGTATTATTCTAACAAACTTTCATTCAATAACTTTAAGCCTGAAAAATGTAAATGAATAATTCAATTGCTTTTATGTCCTTATTTTATACAATTTATGGTATTATCAGGTGAAATACCAGATGAGCAATAAAGATTGTTTTTTCTGATTAAGACTTCCTCATTTTGCAGAAACTGAACACTAGTATAATAAGTCCTAGTAATATAATTTTTTTATATTTATGTCTACTAAGACTTATGTAAATAAATATATTAAAAAACAGAAAATTTACTTTTTATCTAATAATTTCTATTCTTCCATGAGTGAATTTGGTTATAATTTCTGCACCTGGCTAAAATGAGTACATTATTTCTACTCTCTCCTGTTCACCTTAACTCCAAGTTTTTATCTTTTCCCAAAAATCAAAGATGCTATTAAAGAAGCAACATTTCATAATGATGCTGTGAAAGTTGCTACAGAACCAGTTGCAAGGGGGTTTGCAGAAGTGTGGATATACTATTTATATTGAATATTTTATGTAAAAAAATTTAATAACGAAAAGTTGAAGAACATTGTTATATAAAAGAAAGGTGAAAATTTGTTAAATTTAAATGAAGGTTTGAGACTAGACAACTACTGGAATGACATCATAAACCAATACCAGTTAATTAACACAATTGATATATTCATTTTTTACTATTTGATTCTCCTGCAGTAATACAGGAAGTGCAGTTTTCAGTCACATTATCTGAAAATAAATACCAATATATATAACTTTTTAAATTTTCATTTATTATTATTAACTACTTTATTATTGGTTAGTTTTGATCGAGTATAATTTGATATAAACAAATTTATTTTCAATAGAGGCATTAAAATCAACACCACAGTTAACAGGATTTGAGAGGAGCAAAAACTGCTCGGAGATTAAACTGAAAATATTTTCTGTAATTGCTGGTATAGGACGTTCAACATCATACTCCTCCACCAGTACTCGCTTTTTTAATGCCACATCTTTGCTCGCTTTCTACTTCAAATTTTTCAACAAAATTTTCAACATTTTTATTTCGTTAACTAATCTCCGGAAACTTATTAATTCTTTGGTTAGAATTTGCTAGGTTTCGTTTTTTCTTTAAAGATATTGTATTCGTCTGTTTTGATTCTATTATATCTTTATACTTTTGAATTAATTTCATCAAATACTCTGTTTCTCGATGAACAAAATCAGGTTATCGACTTTATTTCTTTCTATCTGTTATGTTCGTATGTTAACGCATATTACGTCTTTCCGAAATATCCAATTAAGTAACGTGTAAGCAAATTTTCTAGCAACGCTAGTGTCGAGATTATTGGATTCACTAATGCTATTCTTAATCTCTGGGGATTTAGTAATCCTTTGATAAAATTTGTTGTTAAAATCCTTGTGTCAGTAATCACGGTATTACTCTAACCCCCGGATTTACAAATACCGCGATTAAGCAATGTTGATGAAACACTACCTTAATCATGCAGGATTTCACCAACATGTTCATTATTTATTTATTGTATGTAAAGAAACAAATAGGAGTTAATTTACAGTTTTCTCGTGATACTTGTTGTTATAATTTTATTAACAATTTTCTTATTTGTTGGACTGCAATTTGAAAAACTTGTAGACTTATAAATTCCCTCTGTCGACCCAGTCCGTTTGCTTGTCCCCCCGACCATTTGCCTGTCTGACTTTCCTTAATTAACTCCTTCGCTACACAGCAGTCTTTAATTTTAATGTAATTAAACATAAAAAAATACTTAAAACTGGAAAAAAACGAAAGAACTGCGTTAATTTTGAAGAGAAAGCTTTAAACTTTATTTTCCATTGTTTTTATTTCCCATTGCCTTTCTGCGAAATTCGACATCGATGAGTAGTCATTGTGTTTACAGCTGGATGACCTTGAGAACAGCTGGTGTTGTATTTCCCGGGACATTCTCATAGACGTCTCAGGAGGAGGAGGGTTTAAAGTAGGGTGAATACTAGCTGGCCGTATATTTTTAAATATTTTTAAAAAATTGAGTTTTTTATTGCGATTTCCGGCCCCCCGACTTAATTAAACGTATATATAATAAAATCTATNAAAGAAATGCGTTAATTTTGAAGAAAAAGCTTTAAACTTTATTTTCCATTGTTTTGCCTTTCTGCAAAATCTCACACTGATGAGTCATTGCGTATACAGCTGGATGATCTTGAACACAGCTTGTTTTGGACTTCCCGGACCATTCTCATAGACGTCTCGGAGGAACAAA